CACGGTGTACGTGCAGACTGAGGGAGAGCGTGGGGCGGGGACCTAGCATGACTGCTACTTTATCCCAAAATATCCCCCTATTTGTAATTGAGGACGAGCCACATCCCATTACAGAAATACCCAGTATTCACCGGAAAACAGGAAAAACGGAATGGCTTTTTATAGGGTAACAGAGCTAATTTCTCCCTTCATAGTAATTATTACATTTTCAGTACATATATTGGTAAATGGCTAGGTCTCTGGAAGGAACTATTTGAGCTGTATACTGTGATGGGAATGGTAGGAAAAGCCCAGGAAGTTATTTCATACATTTCAGGAGCAAAATATTGAGACATTCATCTGGTTTCCTCATGATCTCCATGACCTGCTCTAAGTGGTCATGATATGTAATTTGAAGAGATAGTAACTGCATGTATTCAAATTTCACTGATAATCCTATTGGAGAGTTTTAAAAACATAGATGGTTAGGATTTATAGTCTCAAAGGTTTTGCTCCTTATTGAGTTACAAGACATTCTGCAAACATTTTGCTGTACAATTTGACAATCAAACAAATGATAATCCTTAAGAGTTAAAATCTCCCTACCATGGAGTGTACTAAACTTTGCTATTATGACAAAGTTGTCCCTGAATTGCCCCCTAAATCCCACAAGAAAGGCGTGGATCACACCGCCTCATTTTCAATAATGACTTAGTGTCATTTGTTAGACGTAATTTAATTCGTGTCTGATCCTGTGGCTTCAGTAAGGCAGTTGTTTTCAGGGGGATGGGGGTTCCTGGCATTTTGGTCCGTAGATCTGAGGTTTCCACTGCTTTAGAGGTGACCTCCTTGTTTTGGGAGGATTATCAGTCTAGGCTCTTAATAACAAAAAGTAGGCACCCCCCCACTGTTCTTGAAGGGAGCTAGAGACACTGACACTCATGTACAAGTGCAGTCTGTTGCGAATTGGTGATGTACATTTTTTTTAAATGGCAGTATAATCAGTTACAACATGTCACTTTCTGGTGTACAGCAGTGTCCCAGTCACGCATATACATACATATATTTGTTTTCATATTCTTTTTCATTAAAGGCCATTACAAGATATTGAATATAGTTTCCTGTGCTATACAGAAGAAATTTGTTTTTTATATATTGATGTAAATTGCAATTCCCGTGTCTGGGCTTTGGGAAGAGGAGAAACGCCTTCCCCGAGGAGATTTCAGTAGGAGAGGTGGAGCGTCCCCTCCTACAAGGTGTCGGGTCACACTGAGAGCCTGCATCTGGGCTGAGTGACCACGACTAGCCCCAGGCCTGGGGGGTGCACCGCGGACCATTTTAGTTGCCCTCCATGGCCCCAGACTTGTGCCTTGGCTGTGGTGTTGAGACAGAGAGTCCTCAGATCCCCTCTGGTCCCCTCAGGAGCCAAAGCCTGTGGCTTCTCCCTGGGAAGAGAGCCAGAAATGATCCACTCTGTCGTCCCCTGGGTCACTGTTATCACCCATCCAAGGCCAGCCCCCTGTCCAGCTCCAACCACCTCTCATTCTGCGTCCCAGTCTGCTCTACTCAGACCCACTTCTTCATCACTCAGTTGGTGGCCCATGGCCTAGAGCTTGGGCATGTTGAGCCTGGTCTGCAGGGCCCTCCTGCCAGGGACGCCCTGGCCTCTGCCTGTGCCGCCCCTCACCACTGTCCACACGCCCCAGCCAGGCCGGGGGGATTCCACCCCCTGGACCACGACTGGTCTGTCCCCACCTCCGAGCACGTCAGCCTCTCTGGGACTGTCTTCTGAGGCTCCCGGCCACCATGCAGCTGGATGTCTCTTCCTCCTGGGACTGATTTCAGCCCCTACTTGCCCTCCTAGAGCTACGCGCCACTGCTGTTGCACGTGTCACACCACGAACTGTGCGTCGGAAATAGCTTTCCTGCTGGACCATCCTCTCCACGAGGGATGTGATGCCCGTTGCACGCTGCTCTGCCCTTGACGTCTGGCAGGATGGCCCACACGTTGCAGACCATCCTAGATACCTACTGAACAGAGTGAAACGTGAACAAGCAAAGGAATGAATGGCAGCAAGTGTGTTCAGTGCCGAAGGATTCTTGAGCTTTAACTTCCAGGAGCTCATCCTGGAATTTACCAAGGAGGTTGGGGGTGACACCAGGGAAGCAAAAACCAGAGCCTTGGAGACGCAGGAATAAATCTTGTCCAAGGACTTGAACACAGCACAGAAGGGGAAGCAGGGAGGAGTGATGCCTGGAGGCACTGGAACTGCGTCCTTTCCCTCCACTTAGTGCTGGAGAGACTTGGACCTTCGCACCTGCTCCTCCACTGCTTCATCCCGCTTTCCTGATGTATTGAAGGGGCAAGTTCTATAAGTGCCCTTTACTGCCAAGTGAAAAGAACACAATTTACAAGCCTGACTTAGGGACTTGTACTGAACATTTGTGCAGCTTTTGAGGAATGAAAGTGTTCAGCTTGCAGTCTACCGGGGACGTCAAGCTGTCCTCTTGACATCTGTTTATGAAAATGGTCGGTAGGTGTGTGCTGGAGTGTGGACACTCTGCCTTTCCTGAGGCTGTCTGTTTTGAAGTTCCCTCTTCTGTCAGCTCCTCTCAAAAAATCTGCACTTTGGAATTGAATCTTAAAGCACTCATACTTCTTTAGTCACAGATTTCGGTCTGGCTGGGTGCTGGGTCTGGGGTAAGGACCTCTGTTGTGAAACAGAGACAGAGGACCTAGTGGGTGCTTCCCTCAGGTTTGTTTTTTTTTTAAACATATGAAAAACAAGGCTTTTGTGCTTAATTCCCTCCTGGAGTTTAATGATGGAGCCACATTTCCTGAGCAGTAGGGTATCCTGGTTGTTAATTTGAGGCCAGTAGATGGGCCCTTATTCTCAGTGCAGCAGAGTTAATCACTTACCAGTGAAAGGAGAGAGCAGTCAGAACATTTGGAGGTTGTTTAATCATCAACTGTGGATGACAAGCACCTCTCCGAGTTTCTGAGAATATACATCCCACTGCCTGCCAAGGCCTGGTCGCGAAATGTATCACTTTAATTAATTTGTTTTTTCCTTGCCATGTTTTTTACTGCCATCTCTACACCCGACTCTGGACTGAATTTGGGAGCGATCAAACCATTCCTGAAGTCACTGCTAAGGCTGCACGTACAGATCATCCCTCGTGCAGCCCAAGGGCGCGTTCTGTCTTCCCGGCAGGACCACGCCAGGCAAACACGGACTTCCAAGGTGCCCGATCTGCACGCATCTGTTCTCGGTGCAAGTTCTTCAGCGGAACAGACGGCGACTGCTAATGAGTTTGTTTACACATGTGTGATTTAATGAGACTAAACACTTAACTGATCGTGAAGTCAGCCTTGTTTCCTGCTGCTGTTTTTGCTTTAATTAAAAACAATGTTGGGCACATTTTCTGGGAATTACAGCACTGTGACAGAGGAGATTTCCAGGAAGGGTTGGCTGTTCAGTTGTGGGACTGAAGAGGAAGATGAGAATACAGTGTTGGGTTTGGGGGCCAAGGGCTGAAATCTGGTTTAATTGACAAGAGTAGGTGTAATGGAGGAATTTTTCATGAAGTATGTCATGTCAGACTCTTTAGTGCAATGCTAAAATTAGAATATGTCCCAGACTAACTTATTTTAGGAAGTTCTAGACCTGAATGGGCTCCACCATAAAATCTTTTTTTTTTATTGAAGTATAGTCAGTTTCCAATGTTGTGTTAATTTCTCATGCACAGCATAGTGATTCAGTTATACATATGTATATTTTCATATTTTTTCATTATAGGATATTACAAGATATTGAATATAGTTCCCTGTCCTATATCAATTTTATATGTAATCTGTTGTATGGCCTTCCTTTTTTTTGAGTGAACTCTTTTCTAGTTATTGGCTTATATTTTGATATAACTGAAATCATGACATTCAATTAAGACAGTTCTTCCTAAAAATTCATATAAAATAATGGTGATGTAATTTTTATAAATAAATATTTATGTAAGGTTATCTGATACACTCTCCCCCTTTATTACTTTGAAATTCTGCAAAACCGATCCCACACAGGCTCACTTTGAGGTGGAGGAGATGAGGCAGGAACTCTAACCCCTGACCCACAGGCCAAATCCAGTCTGGTTTTTCAAGTTTTCTCCAGACCCATCTTGCATCCCTCTGCGGGTGTGGGCTGGGGAGTGGCGGAGCTGAGTCTCCGACTGCAGAGTGGGAGTGACCCACTCCGGCCCTGCACGCGGAGGTTTCTCACCACTGATCATCTCCCTGCTGGGTCCGCGATCTCACTGTACCTTCCCGAAGATTCCTAAATTCCACCTGACCACAGGTGTGGGTGTGGCTTTGAGTAGCTCAGGGTCTGGCTGCTGCTTCTGGCCTGTCCTCATCCCTTCCCCAACCCTGGGCACCCTGAGCACCCGGAGGGCTGGCAAATGCGACTTCACCTGCCTTGTTTGTCCCAGTTTGGGAAATGAGTAGTCCCTTGTTCTCGACGTACTAGATAAGTTGTGACAAATTACAAGCTGTTGCTTATACATATTAGGAATACATGGAGAGCATTGAGGTGCATAGAAAAGAAAATAATACATAAATTTTATTATTAAATACACTAATTTTTTTTGTAAGTTAATTATTTTCTTTTTTTTTGCCTTTTTTTTTAACTTGAAGCATAGTCAGTTACAATGTGTCAATTTCTGGTGTACAGCTCAATGTCCCAGGCATGCATATACGTGCATATACATGCCTATACATTTTCATATTCTTTTTCATTAAAGGTAACTACAGGATATTGAATATGGTTCCCTGTGCTATACAGAAGAAATCTGTTACTTACCCGTTTTTATATACAGTGGCTAACATTTGCAATTCTCAAACTCTCAAATTCATCCCTTCCCCCTCCTTCTGCCAGTAACCATAAGATTGTTTACTATGTCAGTGTGTCTGTTCCTTATTTGTAGATGAGTTCATAGTGTCCTCTTTTTTCTTTCTTTCTTTCTTTTTTTAGATTCCACATATAAATGATATGTGAAATGTTAGACTTTAGCCTGGACGATTGAAGTTCCACCAGCTAAGGAGGTTTTTATGTTCTTGTTCACTTTCTAAGGTAAACTTATAAACCACATCTTTAAGATAAACTAATCCAACTGGATAAACCTGATTATTTAGAAACTCATCTCATTAGGTAATCAGTTTGGGTTCACAGAAAATGCACTCGCTGTGGGGTCAGCTGGACCTGCGTTTCAGCCCGAGCTCTGTCACTTTCTAGCATTTCAGATGGAAGAAAATGTCCTCAACTTGGAGCCTCTGGCCCACTGGGGATAATAATGCCTGTTTCACATGTTCGCCGCGAGGCCCAACTGTAAACACAGAGTTCCCGGCACTGTTCCAGGCACGACACGGCCTCTTTTTCACGCTTTCGTGCCTTTTGACTTTCCAAGCATGGAAAGTTGGTGGACCCAGGTAGTCAAGATCGTTGGTACTGCTGATCAGAATTTACAAGCAGACAGTTCCGCTGAAAAGTAGCTAGTGAGAAACGGGTGGTGAATCGTGTGGAGATTCATGGTCACAGCATCAACACAAATAAAAGCAGGAGGGAACACAGGCCAGGATGGCCCAGCATGTGATGTTCGTGGACCCCCAGGGAGAGAGGCCTTCTGGGTTTACTCCAGTGTCTTCCAGAGTCAGATCCACACACCCCTGCAAATCCAATGGCATGTTCTCAAGGAATCAGGAGTTCTTTGAAAAAAATACTACTTGCTTTTCATTTTGATGCCATTTTAAAATTACTGCACTATTGATAGAAAAAAAATCTTTTGCAGTAATCATTTCAATTAATTTTTTCACGTGAAAGTCAGTGTTTCAGATCTAACAACATACACTTGGGCATCATAATGTATTTTTTTCTTCAGGTGTGTTTAGGAGACGTTAGTTATGCTGTTGTGACTTTTCAGAAGAGATCATAGTGGGAGTGTAGTAGTTCCCACACTTGTATGACCTCGACTGAGACTTGACTTCTGTTCTAAAACCAACCATCGTCTTCCACTCTTGGGGAATCAAACTAGGCCAAATGGACTGGGGAAAAAAAGGGGAAATCAGTAGTTTGTTCTAAAGGCATTTTGGAGAAAATTATATTCCACTGGAAAATATTAAAATACTAATAGCTGGTCTAGCAACTTGCGAGACATAGATGACAATTTTGGGAGTTTCTCAAATGTGTGTGCAGATGTTGGTAAATACCACTCTTTTGTAATTAATTCATGTACAGCCTCATCCTGTGCAGTTTAACAGTGAATGTGCAGGGTCCCAGCCAGGGATCCTTTGTGGTTCCTGGGTACGCAGGTATTTTACCAGAATGCTCACCAGTGTTCCACCCATTTTAGGCTTGACATCTCCACCAGAATTTTTGTTTTGCTTGGAAATGACCGACGACAGTAGGGTCTTTGCTTTCTCATGCCTGGCTTTTTCTGTATTCGCAGGAACAGGAGGTGCCTCCTCTGTCTGTTCTGAGCTGCTCCTGCCCGTAGACGCGCGGGTCACGAGGGTCCCTGGTCTGTCGTGGCTTCTGTGTGTCTGTCCCACCTGCGAGCAGCTCCCCGGGGGGCCACCCAGGTGCGGCCGCCAGCACCATGTTCTGCACGAAGCTGAAGGACCTGCAGATCACGGGGGACTGCCCCTTCTCTCTGCTGGCGCCGGGACCCGCGGCCAAGGAGCCAGCGGAGGCGGCGGCGGCCGGATGCTCGGAGGCCGGGACCGCAGCCCCGCGCGCGCTCAGGGACGTCCCCGAGGGGCGCGCGCGCGGGGGGCTTCCCCGCAGGAAGACCAGCCGCAGTCGCGTCTATCTTCAGACTTTGGCCGAGAGCATTTGCAAACTGATTTTCCCGGAGGTGAGCGCTTGCCCTTTCGAGATGGCACTGATATTTTGAAGATGCTAAAAGAATGTTTTTCTAAGGAAAATGCGAACACTTGCTTTCTCATTTTCAGGGCTGTGGTGGATGTAGAGTATTTTCCAGAAACATACAAAAACATTCCTCTACAGGCATCGTATTCTTGAATTGTGTTTCATCTTAAAATGTTTAAGATCTTGCACTCTGTCCTGCACTCGGGTGAGCTTGATGACTTGCTTAGTCTGTTGGCCTCAGCATCCTTATCTGTAAAATGGGAATGGTGACACCACCCACTCCATAGAGTCTCAACGTGCATGAAGTAAAATAATCCATAGCTCCGGCCATCCATAAGGACCCATCCATTGTTAGCTGGTTTTTAGAGCTAAATTCCTCAAAGAATAACTGATTTTCTGCTGGGCTGTCCTGGTCTGTGTCCAAAGAGCATCACACATTCCCTGCCAATTTGCTGAGGTGTCCTGCTGGCTCTGAGTTTGAAGTCTCTGCTCACGCCAGGCTCGACCTCACCCCTAAGTCGGGGTCTAGGACCCGCACCTGCCAGTACCTACCAGCCGGCAGCTGGGACATGCCTTGTTATAGTGAGCAGCCTAGAGCCGAGCTGGGATCTGGAGCCCCGCCCTTAAGAGACCTCTGGAAAGACAGCTACTGTGTCATCTCACTTACATGTGGCATCTTAAACAACACCACCAAGTCCCAAAGAGAAAGAGATCAGACTGGTGGTTCCCAGAGGCAGAGGGTTGGGGAGGGGAATTAGAGGAAGGTGGCCAAGGTGGTCAGAAGAGACCCACCTTCAGTTCGGAGATGGCTTGGGTACCAGGGACGCAAGGACAGCGAGATGGCTGTAGCCAGCACCGCTGAATGATGTATGGGAAAAGTCTCCATGAAGAAAGCCTATGAGTTCTCATCGCAGCGAGAAATGTCTTCTCTTTGCTTTTTATTGTACCTACATAAGAAGATGGGTGTTGGCCGAACCCAACCTATTGTGGTCATCATTTCACATTCTGTGTAAATCAAGCCATCATGCTGCAGTGATGGATGTCAATTATTTCTCAATAAAACTGCAGGGAAGGGAGCTCTGGGGACAAGGCATGTACCTAATTAAGCCAAGTATCTTTGGAATAGAAGACATGCGAGGAGCTCCTCTCCCTCGTGGGGTGGAAGAAAAGAGAGGCTGAGAGTCTTCACGGTGTGTCTTCCTCAGTCTGTCAGAGTTCGCAGGCTTACATAAATTCACTAAGCTGGGAGATCGGGCACTGATGTCATCAGACTCCAGCCGTCAGGATCCACTGATGGCTTGTCAGTGACTCAGCACCGACCCTGTGCATTGTGCGAAGCACTGCGGAACCAGACTGCTGACTTCTAGGGCTGAGGGAGCTTCAGAGGCCATCTTGATTCACTCCCAAGAAGGACTAGAGAGGTTAAATGACTTGACCAAAGTCACACAACTTTCGAAGGGGAGAGCAGTTACTGCTCTCAACAATATGGGCTCCAGTGAGAAAGAAGAGACCTGAAGCTCGGAGGATGAATGGGTTAGAGTTAGCTGGAAGTCGAGGGAACTTATTTCAGATGTAATGCTAGCACAGTAGCCCTTTGGGTAGTGGCCTTTGAAATGGAAATACTGACTTACTCTCCCCAAGTGAGGCCCTTCTCAGGCAGCTGGTGGGCATCACAGCCTGGGAAGCAGGTGGCGCTCTCAGGTTCAAGGACAGAGCGAGACACACAGAGGAACAGGGTGGGGGAGGGGAAGCTGGCGAGCATCCCTGCTTCCTTGACTCCAGCCTGTTACTGTCCCGTTGGCGTCATTATTTTGTCTGATAAATTTTGAGTCCCTATGATAGAAGTCATGTACATGTTGGAATTTCTTCAACAAAATTTTGAATTCCAACTAAAAATGACGTTTGCCTTTTTTCTTTTTCTGTATTTAGAATAACCCGTCGTTTGCTTGCAAACTCCCAGGAATAAGGATCAGGATTTGACTACAGGGTTATGCAGTGGAGAAGGCAAGGCTGTCGGGTCTGGGAGGCGGGGGTGACGGAGGGTACAGTGGGAGTCAATGACTAGGTCTCCTTTCCCACAGCTGAGGCCATTGGCCTTCGAGCAGTGACTGTCCAGTGTTGGTATAACTGGACTGTATAGTAACCAGCCTAGGTTACATCATTAACTGTCCAAACATCGGAATGTCTTTGATTAAAGAAGGTGTTTTTCTTTAAACTGCTTCTATTTGAGTGGACAGAGGTAGCACTTCTCCTACTGTTCACTTTCGGTTCTATCAGTAACTCAAAGGAGGAGACTCCAGCCAGCATTTGACAACATCATAGTTCTTGTTTTAGAGAATCAGATTTAATTCCCCAATTATATTTTATTGGGGGGGGCAAGAATTATAGTTCATTATGCAGAGCAAATTTAGAGTGGGAGCTGGCATTCCAGAGCCATGGAATAGTAGGACTTAGAAAAGGCTTATGGCTTATCTAATGCAAACTTTTCATGCGTCTGGAAAGATTGAAGCACATAAAGTCAGGCCACTTGCTTTAAGTAAGAGATAACGGGGGGAGGTGAAAAGGTCTCTGCCTCTTCACTCGTAACACATTGCTCTTTCTGATGTAACATCGTTAGGTCATTTTTCATGGCTGTGTATCCCAGTACTCCTGGAAGCCCCTCGGACATAGTGTCTTTAAGAAACTTGCAGTACAGTGTCAACCACCCTTGTAGCAAATCAGATCCCACTTATTGAATCGAATCAGCTGAGTCAGATCTGCTTGTGTAAACAATACTCTCCCAAACCAAAGACCTCGTGAGACTAAGGAGGGTCCGAGGGACTCCTGAAGTCTCTAAATGTGCTCCAGAATACTGCGTTGCAAGAAGGAGGAAAAGAAGCAGTGCCACAATTTACCCTTATGAGTTGAAATATCCTTGGTCTAGAAAAACATTAAAAACTGTAGAAAAGTGGAAAATCAACTGAAATAGCACAGCTTATCCAAAAACCCTACCAATGAAATTCCATCCAGAGTGTTGGCAGCAAAAGTGCATCGAACAGCAGTTGTACCTAAGTACTGCTGTGTGCTGTGTTTGTGAGAAAATGCTCGTTTTAACAACAGAATATGTATCTATCTTTATCAAGTCAAAAGAGAGCTGTTAAGTAAAGAGAAACAAACTTCAGAGCAGCACTATATTTACTTTTGGGGATGGGCAATCCCCTCTGTCCATCAGAAATCCCATGATCCACAGCACCTCAGGGTCCAAGGCTTGGGGGTATGAGTGAGCCTGTTCCTCCAAAACTCAAAACGGATGCTTCCTGGGTAAAAGGGAGATTGAGGGCCAGGAACTGAGAATCTTCAGAAGACTGTGGTGCAGTATTGATGTGCATTGAATTGCAGGGACTTAATTTAGAAGGAGATACTGGACTTGGTCCTCAAATACCGTAGTAAACTGAAAGTCACTCTATATAGCTGTCGGGATGTGGAGTACCTGACCTTCCACAGCGGTTGGCTCTGAATCTCAGGTCTCACTTCAAGCTCAGTCCTGCTTAATGGCTTCGCTGTGAACGGTGTCATCTCGGGCTCCAGGCTCAGGAGGACTGTGGGCGCCATGGTGGGACATCCTGCGCCCCAGCAGCCTTTAGCAGTAAATGTTTTGCTTGGGAAGCTTGTGGGTTTTGCCTTGTCTTGTTTTGAATTTGTAACAATTTTCCAGGGGAGCAGTGGTATATGATGAAAGCAGGTGCAAAATCCTGTTAACCTGTATTATCACTAAAGTATGCTGTTAAAACGTGGCCAGGAAAAAAAAGTTCTTTAGAAAAAAATAGTTTTGATTCAATGTGGAAAGTCAGGAAGACCTCTGCTCCGCGGGCCCCAGCACGGGGAGGGACCGTTTCTCCTCCGTTACCGTGGCAGCGCATGTGTTAGTGGGGGCAGACTAGAAAGAGAAGCTCCGGGTGGCAGTGGGAAGGAAGTGAAGGACCAAGGAGGATACTGATTGAAAAGGGTATGAACATGCACTTGACGGTTTAACCAGAAGGTTGAGAGGAGAGAGAACGGTGATGTCCCCTGACCGGGGCGAGGAAGGAAAAACGTCTTCAGAGGCAGGATTGGATGGGTTGTCTTTCCTCATCGCCCGTCAGAAGTTCCTAGTCACAGCAGTGATTCGTATATAAACAAATATAATTCAAATCGTTTTAAATTGGAAACAATCTGAAGGGATTCATGAGCAAGCTGAAAGGGCAGCAGCTCTGTCCTGGGCTGTGTTGCTTCACAGATGCGAAGGTTATAGACGAAGCCTTCAAGACTTGAATTAACTGATGGGGGCACATGGTGTTCGTTCATTCATTCGTTTGTTCACTCCATCATTACGTAGTGAGCATCCCTCTGGCCAGGTACTGTCTCGGTGCCGGGCATGGCTTGGTGAGCGAAGCAGGTCCTCCCTGCCCTGTCGGAGCCTCTGTTCTAGAGGAGAGGACAGGTAGTAAGAAAAAAAGTCGGGTAGCAAGTGCCTGCAAGATGATTGAGAGCATGCGCAGAGGCAGTGCCCTCGTTTCACTCGTGACTCTCTTCCCCAAGAACAGCCAGAAAGGTGGAGCGTGGTTTTACGGGTTTTAATCCACACTAACATGCTGGCGTTAGGAATCCCAGAGTAGCTTGAGAAATGGAAGCTGCTTGAGGACCCCGGCTGATCTGCCTATTTACAGTCTCCAATTTAATGTTCCCTTCCTCTTTCCCTGATATCAAAGACGGCCAAGAAACAGGCCCACGTTTCCCTTCCCAAACACGGTCGTCGCCTGCCAGGCATCACAGAGATCGCCGGGCCCTTGCTCCGAATCTGCCCAGGGCTCCGTCTCCTTCCAGCCCCCGCTCTCCTCCCGAGGCAGGTGTGCCCCCTCTTCTCACCTGAACAGTCAGAAAAACTGCTCTAAATGGTGAACTGAAGTTTTCTTTTATTTCTTCCCATCTCTTGCATTTTCTTTCAATGAACTTCACGTTTCTTTTCTCAGCTCTGTGTGCACTTTAAAAACCAAAAGTTCTTTTCATAACTCATTTCCTTGAAACAGAAGCTTGGTGTGTTTTGCTTAACTCTGCTGTCCCACTTGACCAGTGGAAACTCCGGGAGAGATATAAATAGTTCCTAAGGAAAAAGGAATTTCACAACTTGGGACGTAGCCAGAGAATCGTTCACTGTCCTCTGGGTAAACCACAGAGAGACTCCATGGCTATGTACACACATATGATTTTTTTGGGGGGAGGAGGGAGGGATGCAGAAAACTTGGCAGCACTGGTAACCAGGGTTTTACTTTGCACTTAGCAACTAGTTAGGGAGAAGGAGCTGTTACAAGAGATGAAGAGATAGTCGACCAGTATCTAAAACTCCGGAGGCTTATGTACAAATACTTTGCCATAGAAGAAAAACTGTGACACACTCAGAAATCAATAAAAGAAGAAACCTGTAAGTATTTGGTGAAGATTATTACTTCAAAGAGAGGAAATGAGTACAAGTTACAGGAAATCCAAGATTTGTTCCAAATCAATGATCAGCTGACCTTGATGACAGGGTGGGTTTAAGGGCTCAGAGAGGAAAGACAGGAGGTCTGGAGTTTTCTGGAGCAGAAGTAAGTGATGCATGAGACATGAATGTGTGTTTGGAGCAAAGCGCGGAGGTCCCTGCTGGGGCTGGGGTAGTGTCTGTGCCAGGAATGTGAGTTTGCAGATTCCTGAGATTTCTCCAGGAAGACCCAACTTTACCAAACTGGAGTCTCTGGTGGGGACTGGAGCTTGTTCTGTGGCTGCAGGGAACACCCACCCAGGGCAGGGCCTGAGGGCCACAGCCCAGGTCCAGACTCCAATTAGCCTGAGCTCCTTGCTGCTTCCCAAGTTTACAAAGCGCACAAGAAACTGAGTTCCCCACACTTAAACCATTAAAGGAATGTTTCCGCTTTTTCCTAAGAGAATTTTTGCACATGTATCTTCAAGGAAATGATTACTTAAGGGAATGTTTGAAACTTTTCTTTTCCATCTTCAGTTTGAGCGGCTGAACCTTGCCCTCCAGAGAACACTGGCAAAACTCCAAATACAGGAAAGCAGGTAAGTTGAACCAGTTCTGTCGTGTGAGTGTCCTGGTCCAGTCACCATTGCCAGGAACCGGCGCTCAGTGATGCGTCAGCGTGTGGGCATCATTTTGGCACACCTGGCTCTGGGCTGCGGGTCTCAGCTGCCACGAGTCTGCACGCTGCACACTCATATTCCATGCTGTCTCTATCGCCAGGCAAGCTCGGGTGTATATAAAATGTTTAGGATTCTGCAGCTGTTGAGGAAAAGGCAGAACTGGTTTCAAGCCGGGATTCTTCAGAGCCCCTGATGTGAGCCATCTTGCCTGTGCTGCTGCTTTTGATAAGCTCCCAGAAGGCCTGTTCTTTCCTACTAAGGCGCAATTCCTGAAATATTTAACAAAGGTGCCTCGTGGATCGGAGTGGACTCCTTGCTCGAAGATTAAGGCAGGGTCCCAGGGCCGCCTGCCTCCTCCTATTGTCAACCTTCTCCCAACTTCAACCACAGGTTAAACTTTTTAGTGGGGGTAGCTCAGTGGTGGAGCGTGTGCTTAGCATGTGGGAGGTCCTGGATTCAGTCACCGGTACCGCCATTAAATGAACACATAATGAAATAAACCTAATGACCTCCCCTCCCCCCCCCAAAGAATCAATAAAAATTATTAAAAGAAAAACACTTAGCTGCTGCATCAGGAGGAGGAGGAGGGCTGGGGGACTGAGAGGGGGGCAGCTCGGGGGTGGGGCAGCAGCAGTTGCCACTCTGTAGGGAGGTGGTTTGGTATTTCCACGGCTAGTTTGGCTGTACCGGTGTGCACTGGCTGAGTAGCAGTTCTCTTTACACTTTTCCTTCTACTCTGTGTTTGAAATTTCCTTGAAGAGAGTTTTCTGTAGAGGTTTAATTAATATGTAAGGTGGTTTAAAAAAAACAACCTGACTCCTACAGTTAATTTTTAAAGAGACCCTGGCACCTGACTGCTGATGGGGAGCTTGATTTGGCCTCGTGTTTTTTTCCCTGCAGTCAAAGGGCTATTTCACTGGTGAATCATAACACAAACACTTGAGTTCCAATTTTCAGAATCAGACTTCGATGTTTTGCAAACCAGTGCTGTTATCGGGAATGGTCCATAAATCCATCCATCTGTCCACTGCTGGAGAGTGGGTAATCTGCTCTGGGGATTATCTGTGCTGGTCTCCCTTGCTGGCGAGCTAGTCCCCTGCTGCAGGCGGCAGGCGCGCCAAGAAGGGGTCACAGGCCAGTCCAGTGGGAGAGAGTGTGAATCTCTGAGTCTGACGGAGCTGTGTTTACAGAGTGATATGCCAGAGGCCTCGGTCCTTCCTCCTCAGTCAAGCTGATAAGATATCTGACAAGTCCTGGAGCTGCTACCGTCCGTCCGTCTGTCTGCCTGAGCCCTTGGCAGGCAGCTCCCCTACTCCGAGTAGGGCTCAGGGCTTGTGCACGCAAGTTTTCCTAAGTTGCCTGCAGCTATGCTGGCAGGATGCGTTCCCAGAGAAGTATCTTTTTAAAAATCTCAAAACTTACAAAAATTATTTTATTTGGAAAGCTTGAAACATCTTTTACCACTTCCCTGATGTCTGAAAGAGTGGGTCATAGTTTTAAATTGTCCGAATGATTATTCTGTTGTTGAAATAAGATCAGGGAACTTTTTTTTCTTAGAAGACGGCCTGCTGATTATGCTAAGTGGCTTCTCTGTGCTTTTTTGGCCCTTAGGGTACTGAGTTCATCCCCCGTGTGTTTGGTGGGTCAGTCTCCGTTTCTACTGCTGTCAATTTGCCAACTGCTGAACATACCTTAATAACTCTGTTTTGTGCACTGCTTATTACCTTATGTGACTTAAAAAGCAAAATCTCTCTCTCTATATAAAACAGTACACTGCTTCTAAACAAAGCGCTAGACCCCCTTCCTAAGTGAGTGAGTCCCAGCCCAGTCCGTACGATGCTTCTCTCAGCTGTTTGCACAAAGAGCTTCTGCTTCGTTTCTTTTTCCAGGACCTTTGTTCACATCACGGCATCCCACGTATGAACTCATGGCTGGGGTGTGTGGCCGTGTGTGTACAACACACACGCTTGCTGGTGTAATGCAGGCTTACACCTTCTTCTTTCTGAATTTTTTTTTTTTGAAGGTGAAGATAGGGAACTTATTTTGAATTGCACCGTGTGTTGTTTGGATTGGCTGAGCTTTGCTGGGAATTGGCAGGAGTCGAGTTCTCCGAGCAGATTTGCTCTCATTCTTCAGAAAAAAAATAGACGTTGCTTAAATGAGAAAAAAGATGTGGATCTAAAGATGGATTAATGTAACATATGTGACAAGGAGGTGGGGAGCTCTTGATTCAAATTAGATATCATATAGTGGCCCTCAATCTATTTAGATAAGAATAATTTTCTACCTAGCGTTTTAAAATAAGTGTAAGCAGTGTACCTGTATGTGATAAAGTAGCCAGCTGGCAATTTTCCTGCTCAAAAATGTTTCCCTTTGAAACCTCTCTATATGTAGCGTGCTTTACTGAAGTCTGTCTAGTAGTTTAAATTTGTGTGTTTGCCATCTTGGCAAGCTGAACCACAAATAGAACTTGGGTGTCTTTTAAAAGACTTTAGCAGTGTGGCACATTTGGTCATAATTAGTCATCACTCTTGGAAATCATTAAAAAACAAATAGGCAAATATTTCTAGCCATCAAAATATATGCTATTACGTTATTGGCTTCTGTGCTATGTGCAGTAATTGAATAAGGAATAGACTTCTGCAGTCACGAACTCTTATATAAGACCAAGGATGAAAGTTTAATGTAATGAAATCTGAGACTTAAATACATAGAGCCTAAAACTTGAAAGCAGGGTATACCACGTATTTGCTTTAGCAAATAAATAAGGATACTTTAAAGTGGAATCCATCAGTATGTGGATGTTTCTTCTTGGTTGTGTGTTCAGAGAACCCCAGTCTGATTTATTACCATCCTTTCTTGGAAATTTCATGCCACTGGTTTTCCACCAGTGCAAACACCCACACTCTTAGCCTATGTAAAGTTAGATTAAAAGGTAAATATACTTCGTAAAATATGATGAAACACTCTAGATCAGGTACATTTTGGGATTTTTTTTCCCCAACATTATTTGGGGTCTGTACATGTCTTGCTCCTTTCCTGCAAACTGAACAGTGAAGTTTTGCCTCAAAGAAAAGGTAATTTAAATTATTTTCTGTCATCATTTCTGTATGTTATAGCCTGAAATTTTATCATTCATTCGTCAGTTTGTAATTTAAAATATTGAAATCATTTCAGGAAATCTTTGGAAAGAGAAGACTTTGAAAAAATAATTGGGGACCAAGCAATTGCAGCAGGTAATAAAATATGAGCAATTAGGAAATAATTATACTTGTGGAACTAATATTTTGCCTGTAGACTAAGGTTGTCCATTCCTAGAAAATACTTACCTGTAGAACTAATATTTTTGTCTAAAATATTCCTGTTTATTTGTTGGTAACTTCCAGTGTGAAATGTTCAACATCATATTTTGTGTTAACATAAAGAATGTCTTTTTCAAACTACATAATATCTTTGTTTGACCTGCAACATTTCCTCTTCTTACAAGTTTATTTGCTGAGAAGCATCTAAAGCTGCCTGTGAGGCTGACTTATAGACATTCACATGCTTCTATCTTCAACTCAACTAAGTGTTCCTCATTTATGCATAAAAATTCTACTCAGCAATGTAAAATGAATAATTTTTTTAAACATTGGAAGCAATCATGGGGAAAAAGGAGAGCAATGCTCTCAGTAATACTTGGTTTGAGGGAAACAAGGAGACGGGTAACTGTCACACTGTCCCTTTCAAGGACCACGAGTCCATGGACTAACAGGTTAAATTTTTCTAAAAGTACAAGATATTAAGAATTTAATAATGATGATGATGATGATGATGATGATGATGATGAAGGCTGGCTCACACTGAGTCCTGCCTCTGAGTCTGGCACTATTTTAGTGTAGTCCCCAGCACCACAGCAGTCTGGCAACAAGGCACTCTTGTTTTCCCTGAGTTTCACATGAGAAAAACGTGGTACTCAGAATTTAAAGACTAAAGGAGACTAGAGAAGGAGAAGCTATAGAAATTAAATAGTGTGTTCCCAACACATATTCATTCAGTAGCATTGAACAACAAGAATGCTATTTAACTCAGAAAAAAAAATTATATTATCTCTAAGAAAGAATGACAAAATAGTGTTTCACCATAGGTGATTTCAAAATAATTCTTGTATCTGATGCTTATTTTCTGGGAGGTCCTTTGAGGGGGTACAGTACCCCTTCACCAACATGTACTACAGTTTTTGTTGTTAACAAGGTGGGAGAGCTTTTTCTAAAATGGACTTGATCCTGTATTTCCAATTGTTTTTTTTTTAAGCTTGTATTTATTTATTTATTTTTGAAGTCTAGCCAGTTTACAATGTCATGTCAATATCTGGTGGACAGCATAATATTTCAGTCATACAAACACATACATAGATTCGTTTTCATATTTTTTCATTATAGGTTACTACAAGATATTGAATATAGTTCCCTGTGCTCTACAGAAGAAACATGTTGTATATCTTTTATATATAGTAGTTAGCGTCTACAAATTTCAAACTCCTGATTTATCCCTTCCCACCCCCTTTCCCCTCCAGTAACCACAAGTGTTCTTTTATAGTTAAGTTTCAGGAAGATAAAAAGTCATACATTATACTCAGTTGATCATTCTGTTGTAATCAGCTGATTTGGGATTTGTATTGAGAGTTCTCAGAATTTTGGAGGCTAATCTATGTAGACACTTTGAATATAGGTGGTTAACTTTGGTGGGAACTCTTATGACTAGCAGATACAAGGCAAACTCAATCATCAGATACAACAATATTAGAAACAGTAGAACCAGCGCCATCTGCCAAGATGACGCGTTTGCTGCGGCAGACAGTGTGCTATGTGCTTTCAGGAGTTCCGGTGGAGATCATCAGAGAGTCCCTGGGTGAAGAGCTTTTTAAAATATGTTACGAGGAGGATGAATACATCCTAGGTGTGGTCGGAGGAACCCTCAAAGATTTCCTGAACAGCTTCAGCACGCTCCTGAAACAGAGCAGCCACTGCCAAGAAGCAGAGAAGCGGGGCGGGATTGAGGACGGGTCCATCCTCTGCCTGGATAAGGACGAGGACTTCCTCAGTGTCTACTACTTCTTCCCCAAGAGAACCACGTCCCTGATTCTGCCCGGCATCATTAAGGCGGCGGCCCACACGCTGTACGAGACCGAGGTGGAGGTGTCCTCCATGCCCCCCTGCTTCCACGCGGAGGGCGGCGACGCCCTGCAGCAGCCCTGCCTGCTCTACTCCGTCCGCGTCACCAGCGCCAGGCCCGCCCCGTCGCCGGCCCCGGGCAAGCCGCCGTCCTCGCTGGTGATCCCCGTGTCGCTCTTCTGCAAGACCTTCCCGTTCCACTTCATGTTTGACAGAGACATGGCGATTCTGCAGTTCGGCAACGGCATCCGGAGGCTGATGAGCAGGAGGGACTTCCAGGCGAAGCCCCGCTTTGAGGAGTACTTCGAGATCCTGACTCCCAAAATCAGCCAGACGTTCAGCGGAATCCTGACCATGCTGAACATGCAGTTCGTGGTGCGAGTGAGGCGGTGGGACAGCTCCGTGAAGAAGGCTTCCAGGGTAAGGAGAACCTAATACTGCTGCTAATATGAAATCAGCGATTTCACCTTTAAAGTATAGGAAGCGAAAAAGGTAAAAAAAGATGCGTTGCTTCAGATGTCAATTAAACAGTTCTCTTTACAATGATTCTCAAATACTTTCAGGCTGGATGGAATCAATTGAAAATAAGATCTTGCTGCATTCATTTCTTGCTTACCTAACCCCTCACTTCACAGATGCACGTCGCATGCAGTGTAGCTTTTAAAATCCTTATGGAGTATTTTATAACTGAATTAGAAACGTGTTTATATAAAATATATTTTCAATCATCATCAAATAGCTGACTTAATTTAGAATAGTAAGAGGTATTGTTCGACAGCCAACAAAAACGGCTTCTTTCTTACAGTAGGCAGCCAAATGGATTTTAAATCAGTATTTAATAGACATGGAAAACAATCAATAATAATATATTGCATTAATTGTTAGAAAACGTGGGAAAAACTGTTTTGCTCACATCTCATGATTGAGAACCACGGTGATTATTTAGAAAGGACGTTTGTGAAGTGGTAGCTGACGGTACAGGCAAAGCTCACAGAGAGGCTTGGGACACATCTGACTTTTCGACACGCGTAACCTGGCAGACACACTGTTCCCACAGGAAGACAGCTTTGCTGCTTTCTTATCATAAAAGTAATATAGCCAAGTGTTTAAAAAATAGGTAATACTTAAAGGTGTTTATTGCAAAATCAAAAGCATTAATTATATACATTTCTGTTTAAAACAAAAAGTACTATTTGCAACTTTTTAAAAAATCACTAAACAGTATATTTTGAGCATCTTTCCATTCCATTATATCCCCGTCTGTTTCACTTTTTTCCAAGGCTGGGTAGTATCTCATTGTACCGTTGTCTTCCATTTTATTTTATTTTATTTTTTATTGACGTGTAGTTGATTTACAATGTTAGTTTCAGGTGTACAGCAAAGTGATTCAGTTACACATATACATACATACATATATTTTCTTTTCAGATTCTTTTCCATTACATGTTATTACAAGAAACTGAGTATAGTTCCCTGGCCTTCACTTTATTTAACTCCCCACTGTGGAAGGACGTCTGGGTGGCTGTCAACCCTTTGCTGTGGTGAACACACATATGCAGGTCTGTCCCACTCACACGAGTAGACCCTGTGATGCTGGGTGATCGCATGAACCCTCCCCTGGCTTGGGGCTCCCTTGGTGTAGCCCCTTCTGCAGCTGTAGAAACGGAAGCATCAGCCTGCCTCATAGTGAGAAGGCCCGAAGCAAGTATTTTTTGCATTGCTGATGGAAAATTATGATTTCCATGTAGAGTTTAATCCCCAAATATTCTCCAAGTGTCTGCATGCATCTTAGAATGCATAGTAAATTACACTATGAGAAAGTGTATCATTTGCTGGCAACAAGTAGAAAAACATCAAGCTGAAAAACTAAGGGATTATCTCTGTATCCACATCTTCACTTTGTCTCCAGAAGGTGCTGGAGATCTGAATAAACCGCCACGCGGGTTCTCCTTGGCTCCACAGGTCATGGACCTCAAGGGCCAGATGATCTACGTGGTGGAGTCCAGCGCTGTCCTGTTCCTGGGGTCGCCCTGCGTGGACCGGCTGGAGGACTTCACGGGGCGCGGGCTCTACCTGTCGGACATCCCGATCCACAACGCGCTGAGGGACGTGGTCCTGATCGGGGAGCAGGCGCGCGCGCAGGACGGCCTGAAGAAGCGGCTGGGCAAGCTGAAGGCCACGCTGGAGCAGGCGCACCAGGCGCTGGAGGAGGAGAAGAGGAAGACGGTGGACCTGCTCTGCTCCATCTTCCCCGGCGAGGTGGCGCAGCAGCTGTGGCAGGGCCAGGTGGTGCAGGCCAAGAAGTTCAGCGACGTCACCATGCTCTTCTCGGACATCGTGGGCTTCACGGCCATCTGCTCCCAGTGCTCGCCGCTGCAGGTCATCACCATGCTCAACGCGCTCTACACGCGCTTCGACCGGCAGTGCGGGGAGCTGGACGTCTACAAGGTAGCGGGGGAGGGGGTCTTCCCTGGGCGGGGGAGCCGCTTTCCCCGCCCGCCCGTGCGGCCCGTCAGGTCTGGGTGGGGGGCGGCCCATCGCGACCTCAGCGCGTGGCTGCCCGCTGTCCAGCCTGGAATCGCTCGGAATCTCTGCAGAAACCAATGATTCCGTGCAAGGACCGCCACCGCGCCCTCCCCAGAGAGTAAGTGGGTGGGGGTGGGGCCCCGAGGAAAAGGGGTGTTTCGAGGTCAGTGAACTGACACTTGACCATGAACACTGAGTTGATTCAGCATGAGACGGACCAAAGTATAACTCGTCCGGGGAGGATGTATCCTTCCATCTGAATGTTTGGTTTTGTTTATTGGAGGGGGGAGGTAATTAGGTTTGTTTATTTATTTAATGGAGGTACCGGGGATTGAACCCGGGACCTTGTGCCTTCTAGGCAGGTGTTCTGCCGCTGAGCTCTACCCTCCGCCCATCCGTAAAAGCAAAGGAGTGTGAGGAGTATACAGATTGCCTTGTGCCAGGTGAATTCAGTATAGAGTCAATGTGATACTTTTCATGGCCAGTAACAGACACCAGACCACCTGCTTAAGGTGTCCTTGTACAGAGGCCAAGGGCAGAGACATCGAGACAGGGAAGTCTGTCTTCAAATCATCTCTTCTACCTTACTTGCCTTGTAAGTGGAGAACGTTAAATAACCTTTCTCATTTCTAGAGCAGAGAAAATAATATGCACCTACAGAATTTATACCTGTGGTCCATCAGTCAGCGGGTTTGTTGAGTGCCTGCGAGGTACCAGCCATCATTCTAGGCACTGGGGATGTACAGAGAGCTAATGAAGAGATCTCATGTTCTTCCTGTTTCTTTAGAAGTGAAACTTTTTTTTTTTACTGATTTAAAAGTATTTTGCATTATTCTCAATATTGGTGTTGAGAATAAAGCATGCTTCTTATATATGTGGTTTGAATCATCTTTTAATTGGCCACATAAAAATCTGGCATTTCAGAGCTTAAGCCAACATGAAATAAATAGATTATTGAAGAACAAACAAAAATTATTTACGGGAATAATATAAGCCCCAATCTAGATGCTCAAAGTAAAACTTCCCTTTTTAAAAATTTCTAACAGGAAATTCCAGGCAGAGCTATGATTCCCTTGGGGGGAAAAAAAAGAAGGCCTTGTATAATTACAGATAAAATAATTGGCTTCAGTTAGGTTCAGCTTGGTGGCCTCTTGTGGAATTCACTGTACTTATTTGTAGACAGTTTACGCCTCGAGGATGTCTCCTCGCTGGGAACTGTGGTTAGGAAGTCTTACTGTCTTTGGCCGACTGCTATGATTGCCGGCACAAGCAGCCACTTCTAGAAGTTTCACCTTGCTGACACTTTAAAAAGCGCGGTCATTCCTCTCAAGTGTTTGGAATCTGTGCTCCTTGCTGCGAGGCTGGGAGCCCCAGAATCCGCAGGTTGGCCCGGCATCCGGAGCGGGCGCGTCTGACTGTCCGCATCTCACCCACTCTGCTCTCTGACTTTGCAGAACACTTGGAGCGGTTGTAGGTAAACGAGGATGGGTCTTAACCTTGGAATAAACAAACTCAAGATACAAGGAATGTTCACCATAGGCTGACCTGTGGGGGTGATGGCTTCCAAGGAGCAGTCAGTTTCTTGTTTCTTCCAGTACCTCGTGGTACCGGGACTTTGTTCCATTTCATTTTTTTTTCTGTCTTTCAATCTTTTGGTCATTTTTTCTGCTTATTTCCGTATTTACTTATCTGTTGTTTTAGCAAATACCTACCGGTCGTCCAGCATTTGCCCGCATGGTGGGTACAGTCCCTGTGAGGCGGGTTCACATGTCCACATGTCAGGGGAGGGGGGGCACCTGGACAGGTGCACAGGACAGTTTCCTGTGACATGGTGGACATGCGATTCCTTTCCGGCGTGTGTGTGTGTGGGGTACAGCAGCACAGGGAACAGGCTCCCAGCACCACGGAGGCGTGGGGGCGCCCCTCTCCTGACTAGTTCCACCCACTGAGCACCTGTGATGTGTCAGCTGTTGTGCTGAGCGCTTCTTCCGTCTGCACTGGAGGAAAAGCTTCTGGAGACACTGCTGCCTGGTTCCTCCATGGGTGGCTGTTCTGGGCACGGGGGAGACAGGAGGTGATAAGCAGAGAGCTTGCGCTCCACGGGGCAAAGAAGGACAGAGAACAAGTGCGTAAGGTTACAGCGTTCCGGTCGCTGGGCTGTTCTGGCGGGGAAATGGGGCAGGTGTCGGGGGAGACAGTGTAAGGTCAGGGGCGAGCACTGTTCTCAGATGCCGTTGGCCTGGGGAAGTGAGGGACCAGGAGGGGTGCTCCTGGCAGGGGGAGGGGAGAGCAGGTGGAGGCACGTGTGGTACGTTTGAGGGACAATCAGAGATGCTGGGACAGAGGGAACAAGAGGGAGGATGAGGAGGCGGAGTCAGGGAGCAGCAGAAAGGCGGGCGAGAACTTCAGGGCATTTTAACGGCTTCAGCATTTATTCCAAGTGAAATTGGGAATTGCCAACTTAGCCTCCCTTTCTCACCTCCATCCTTCCATACTGGGGGCTTAGGATAAGAGTGGCGATATGATCTGATAAGTTACAGTAAATATTTAGAGGGGAAGAAAAACGCACCTGTCACTATTTGGTGGCCTATTTGTGGATTTAAATTAACCATTAGCTTTGTACTTAGAGTCCCAGATAAAAATCGCTGGTAATATGACATAATACTAATGTACATGAATTTGTATTACAGCTTGACTTCCAGTAGCTTTCCAAACACCATGGTTTCTGCCTCCTGGTTTGACATTTTGGTTTCCATACTTTGTGATTAATACTAATGTAAACAATTTATCATGGCTGTGAGGACCCCCCAAAATCCTTTTGAAAACCTCTAACCTCGTTAACCTTGCACATCTTTACTAAATTTATCTGACATTGACTGAATAGTGGCTTTCTTCAAAACACTGTATTTTATGCTGAGATGCTGTAAAATCATCCAATAACTTTAAGCAATTTATTATTAATCCAAAGTACATCATTTGTTTCTACAAAGTCATTTTACATGGCGGGGAAAGAAAGGTGAAATGGCATGGTGAGTGAGTGGCAGGTCTGGGAGCTGGAACCCTTCCTGATCCTGAGTTCATGGGGCTGTGGTGTCTCTCAGCGCAGCCCGTGGTGCAAGGCTCAGAGACCTGTGACTTCCCTGAAGAGGAAAGCCTGTTCTTGGAGTACATGATTTACTCTCATGTTCTGCTGGCCCAAACCCTGAGATTTCTGCTGGGTGCTTCTGAGTGCCCGCTCTCTGATGTGCACGGTGGTGCTTCCCAAGCGCCTGTTTTAACGCGGAAAATCTCTCGTGTGCAGGTGGAGACCATTGGCGATGCGTACTGTGTGGCTGGGGGGTTACACAAAGAAAGCGACACTCACGCCGTCCAGATCGCGCTGATGGCCCTGAAGATGATGGAGCTCTCTGACGAAGTCATGTCGCCCCACGGGGAGCCCATCAAGGTGAGGCAGTCTCGTCCTGTTGTGAGAGTCCGTGTGGTTGGTCAGTGATCAGGTGGGTGGTGCCCAGCGTGGGCTTGGTGGCAGAGAGCAGCGTCTCCGGCTCGGTCAAGCAGGAAGGTGTTTACCACGTGGTATTAAGTGGCTTACAGAATCGCGGAGAGGACCAAGAGTCCGCCTACACCTCGCTCGCTCAAAAAATGGGTCCCAGAGTAACACTTCGGAACCACTGCTTTCTCTGTGATCTGGTAGCTGGCTCCACAGCTCCACAGCCACAGTCGGGAAACCCTTGTGCTCAGAAAGCTGCTGTCTGTGCTGCTGGTTTCCAGGACAGAAGGGCCCCTCCTATGATTTCAACCAGCAACTCGGAGATCCTGCATCATGACTCTCACAAGATGAGTGACTGGAGTCTGGGCTCCCTGCTAAGCTTGTGAGAGAAAACCCGGAGGCTTCCACAGCTGGGCTCCCATGTAACCAGCGGAAGGGCAGGCACGGCAGAAATCCAGCTTCCAAATGTCACACAGGGTATCTGAGTCACCAACCCTAAGTACATGGAGCAGCCTCGAGGGAGTTGGGAAAATGAATTTTTAATTTTCCAATCCCAGCAGGGGAGGAATCACAGTAGGATAGAGGTGACTGCTAGCCCACCAGTGGTTTCTAGGGCACATGAAATCCCACAATTTCGGGATGAGCCAGATCCCAGAATAATGATATCTCCTGCAGATGAGAAAGTCAAACTCACATGCCGGCCATTGGTTTGCTAGGTATTACATGTGCAGAGTATTTTGATTCATCCCACACTTAGTGAATCTGCCACTTAATTTTTATAAAATAGCCTCCATTGATAAACCTTCAGAAATGGGCCTTGGGAGTGATGTGGAATCCTATCTGGGGTGCTGTAAAACATAGAGAAGAAGGGAAAATGAGACGTTTAGTCCTGGTGCTCTCCAGTGTTAGTAGAAGCCTCATGTTTGAGCCTTCAGGACTGTTTCTAAGTCAGCTGTCGTCCCACTATGTGCTGACGTGTGACACACTCCCCTGCATTTCGAGGTGTGCGACCGCAGGCCTGTGCACTGATTCTGTCCATTGGAATTTGGATGAAGCACAGCGGGGATGCCTTTTCATTCCTCACGAGACCTGGTAACTGGGCTGAGAGCAGTCAGATGGATGAGGCCATGTGGCATGGCTGGATGGTACCCCTTGGACCAGCGACCCCTTCCGAGGTGCCTGCTTCACTCACCTGCCTGAGTCTGGGGCTGGGGGTGGCTGAGGACGGGCTCAGCTGGACTGTTGGCCCAGGTCCTTACACGTGTGCTCAGGCCCCGCAACCTCAGAGCAGTCACACTCCTTACCTGGTGACTCACATCCCAGGGAACCAGGTTGGTGTCAGCCACACGACCTTTTATGACCTCACCTAGGAGATACCCAGTGACATGTCCATTATATTCTGTTGGTCAGAGCAGTCACACACTTGCCCAACAGGAAGAGTGTGAAATAATTCTCAACTGTTTTAAAAGCATCACAGCATCTGACTTGCTTAGACGCTTGATTTCTGTAATTTTTTTAGAGGAGAATTATGTTCGTTTGTTTGTTTTTTGGTGAGGAGACTCATAACATCAAAGTAAATGCTTAGAGTATCCAGATTAAGAATCAAGTCAGGGATTTCCACATAAATGGATTTCGTTACTAAGATGTGTATGTTTGGGGCAGGGGGATTAGTGACGTGATTTTTGATCTTTTCAGAAATGTACTTTTAGAGTTGGCAATTGCAAGAATTATTCATAGCGAATTCCCGAGATACTTACCTGGGTGATAATAATTCAGCTTTACTGACCTGTAAAGGGAGATGTTAAACATACCTTTTAAAAAATTTATTTATTATCATATTTTTTAATTATTTTATTTTGGCATGGGGAGACAGGTAAAATTAGGTTATTTTTAGAGAGGGTACTGGGGATTGAACCCAGGACCTTGTGAATGCTAAGCATATGCTCTACCACTTGAGCTACACCCTTTCCCCACTAAATACACCTTTTTATTTGTTCTGCCCTGCAGTCCTAGGGCATCTCTGAGATCCTTGGGGGGCTGTCCCTGACACGTCACAGAGACAGAAGTGCAGAGTACTTTTAGGAGAGAGAGAAACACTAATGTGTATTGTGGGGAGCAGACTGTGACTTAAACGTTGTCTTCTTTAAAATCTTTATAACAACATTAAAAGAGGAACCCACAGTTCAGATGAGAGTAGCCACGTCCCTCCTGAATCCAGACTTGGGGTCGTGTGTTTCCGGCTCCAAAGCCCAGCCTTTCACTGCTTATTACCCTCCTGCCCCATGGAATGGAGTCAAGGTGAAAGACTAGGAAGTATTTCCGTTTTTTCTTTTCAAACTCTGTGTTTCCCAGCCTGTCATCTGTACAGACCATCTGCCCACTTACTCCGGCTGATCCCTCACTCACATCCCCCCTGAGGCTTAGAAACCCCCAGGTGGACTCGTGCTGGAGACCAGGGGGCGAGGACAGCAGAGCGAGTCAGGGAGCTTGGAAAGGCACTCGGGGCCCTCCTCCCGTTCCCCAAAGCCTGCCATGAGGAGGGGGTTATGTCGAAAGTGGCCCCCAAGTGTCCATTCAAGGCATGATGTGTATCTTAAACTTTGCACCATTTGCATGCTTGTAAATCTGAACGGTTCCCTGATAAGAACGCTTTGAGTTGAGAGTGAACCTCAAGACTGGGAAAGGATGGCGGGGTGGGGATGAGAGGAACCAGAGGGGCACTGGCTTTGCCTGCATTGTTGTTCGCGTGTTTACGAGGAGGACGTATTTCTGTATTAATCATGCAGTAGAAACATTAAAATGTTACGACAAATTTGTCAAATTCAAAGGTGGAATAGCTAAGTGTGAAGAGAGAAACTGGTTTAACCAGAAGAGTGCCAAAGAGAGTAAAATCTCCTAAAATTGTGCCGGATATTTATAAGCAGAAGATAGCCTTTGGTCATCATTCTTGTTCATTTGTTTCTATTGTTTGTTATATTGTTTACATATAAAACCATATTCTCCTAAGGAAGGAGAAGCCAGATGTCATAAAACAGCTGTGTTTTTGTGCTTGGCGTAAAGCTTTGGTGAAGGAGGGAGTTGGAAATTATCCATTCCTGCGCTTTATAGACGAGGAAAGAGCACTAGGGAAATGAAGGAACGTACAGACAGTCAGACTCACAGATGCAGAGAACAAATCAGTGGCCGCCAGAGGGAAGGGCTGACGGGGGAGGAGTCAGGGTAGGCGGGTAAGAGGCCTAAACCCCTAGGTATGAAATATAAATAAGTTACAGGGATGTGACGCACAGCACAGGAAATAGCTAATGTTCTGTAAGAACTGTAGGTGGAGTACAGAATATAAACTATTGAATAACTATGCTGTACCCCTGAAACTCATATAATATCGTAAGTCAAGTGTCCTTCCACTTAAAACAAGGCGGACTGCCGGTTATTCCTAACACAACTCTCCTGATTCACTGTCTAGCGCTTCTGTTGGAAAGTTTCGCAGGATTCATGATTTGACGTGTTACAAGCAAATGATTCTCAAAAGTTTCTAGAAGAGCTCTGAAATCAACTGAAAAACCAAGGAGGCTGCAGTTTTCGGAATTCTAAGTCACATCTAAGCTCCTGAGTACTTAGCCTTTGTTCAAAATATACATCTCTAATAAAATTTTTAAAAACATGGTCAACTGAACATGGAACTCGGAAATAACGAACATGGTGTCCGGTGGTTGTTTAAAACATCCCCGCTTTCACTTGCTTTGTTGTAGCAGGAATTTAGCAGCTAGTGCATCCTCTCGGATCCTCAAGCGCTCAGATCTTCTAGGAGATCCCGGTTGAAAACAGTCTGCCTTGACTGCTCTGCAGGTCGTTGGTAATTTCCAGGATCCCTACACCGCAGTGTATCCTGGCTGCCTGTCGCACCCGGCCCCGGCCCGACTGTGCTTTCCGTGGGTCTGGACTTTCTTAGCTCACATGTACAGTCACTGAAGGCCAGGCCTCGGCAACCCCAGCTTTCTGCTGCTTCCTGAAATACTACAATACTCTTTCTCCGCTTGTTGGTCATTTAAATAGGGAGGAAGTTTGGCATAAAGTTCTTTGAAAGCAAGATACCTAAAAGCCCCATTCTCTGTTTCGCAAGAGCTAGCTCGTTACCCGCCTCTGACGGTGTTTCAGGAATAACTTCTGGGCTCCAGAAGTCTTGTCTCCCTCACCTGAGGAACAGAAGAGTTTACAGAAACGGTCCATGGACGCGGTGTCTGGTTGCTATGGTGACTGTGATGGGTGTGTGGGATTTTGGGTCAGATGCTGAAGACAGTGGAGAGAGAGCCGCCCTGGGTAACAAACCTAAGGACATACACAGAGAAGGGTTACAGGTGTGACTGACCCTCACTAGTCACTGCTGATGGGAAGTGAGGAGGAGCGGAGGTGCGAGCGAGGAGTCCGTCAGTCAGACAGGGCACTCACACAGCTGCGACGAGGGGGCGTGTGTTACCAGTGACCAGGAACACTCTGCTCCTTTTTTGCTTTCAGATGCGAATCGGACTGCATTCCGGGTCAGTTTTTGCTGGAGTTGTTGGGGTTAAAATGCCCCGTTACTGTCTCTTCGGGAACAATGTCACCTTGGCGAACAAATTCGAGTCGTGCAGTGTGCCGCGGAAAATCAACGTGAGCCCCACCACCTACAGGTACTGCAGCCCCCAGCGCCCGAGATCTGCTCATCTCATTTATCTCTGCTTGTCGCTGTCCCAGCAGTTTGTTTCACTCTTCGTACCGTCCTCGCTTATAACCTTAAAGGAAAAGAGAAGCAGTAACCCTTATCATCTTGGCTTTAACCTTTTGTCAACTATTCATTTGCCTCGGGAGAACGCCTCTCCTGAGGTGCCTGTCGCCAGGCTGTGACCCCTGATGCACATCCTGCCTTCCCCGTTTCAAGGCGTGTTACTTCTCACGCTGCCCGGACAGGTGTTCTGACACCAGCCGTGTCCTGCGGTACAACTCTGGCACTCACTTCCCAGAGTTAGCACCCGCCTGTTAGAGGGCGTGGTCCCCCATAAGAATGCCCTTAATTCAGGTGCCGGCTGTGGAAACTTCATCTGGTTTTAAAAATCCAGCTGTCATGGAAATCCTTGAAGGGCAAAAAGACTGTTCCAGATCGATACGGTCACTGACTTACATCAGGCAAGTTCACCTTTCTGTTCTCAGAGGTGCCAGTCCTAGAGCATCTTCTTTCTCATTAAAGCCCCAACCACCTTTCCTGTCCGGCCCCGACTGTAAGTTGAAGATCTCACTTTCTATTCCCCAGCAGAAAGAGATTACCATCTGCTAAGAACCACGCCACCTTCACCCTCAGATCCCATAGACAGAGCTGCCTGCACTGTCTTAGGTCCTGATACCTGTTTCGGGGGCTGCGCCCCCCTGGTTTTGCTCCAAGTGCCGTTTCCTCTCACCTCCTTGGAAACCTGTTCTTCTGAAAGTATCAGCCTCCTCCATGACCAGTTTCTCCAATGAAATGATTATTCCCATCAAAATATGGACGCATCTGACTATTACACCTCCTTAAAGACGGTGTCTGCTTTGTCTCCAGCTCTGTCTCAGGCATCTCCCTATGTGCCCGCTCCTTTTCCAGCAAAACTTCCAAGGTTTGGTTATGCTCAGTGCTTCTCCTTGCGCACCCCACTTAAGAGTTTGTCCGTACACTTCACTGATGTGGTTCCTACCAGGGTCATCCATGTTCCTTGCTGAAATCAGGGCCAATTCTCTGTCTTATCTTCCTCAGCATCTCAGAATCTGTTGACCTGATGTGAAGGTCCTCCTGCGAACATTTTCTTCTCCAGGCTTTTGTGACCACCTAACCTGGTTTCCTCGTTATCCCATGGCTGCACCTTCTCGGTGTCTCCTGTTAGCTCCCTGTCCACACCAGACCTTTGAAGGTTGTCCTGTCGAGAGCTCAGTCCCTGTTCTCACCTGGGTCTGAACTTTTTGTTGGTTCACCGGTTTTTTCTCTAACCCATTCTGTAATTCTCCACTGAGTTTCAGACTCATGTTTTCTGTTCTGTCCTTGCGCTCTGGTGACTAACTGATGAGTTACAATCGATGTGACCATGTTAGAACAAGTGATTCCCACACTCACCCTGACAGAATCCACTTCCCACCAGCCAAACTTTATCCTCTCCAGCATCAGTCTCAGACCGTAAACCTCGGCACCATCATCCCTTCCTCCCCCTCACGTCCAACCCCCTCCACCTACAACTGATACCCTGCATGCAGCATTTCCCACCTCCTTCAGTGCCACACCCAAGCCACCCTTCGCTCTCCAGCCTGAGCCTCTCAGCCTCACCTCAGTCTGAGCCCCCCTTGCTTCCTCAAAAGCCTTGTCCCCGCCGTTCACCCTCCACTCAAGAGCCAGGGGAGCTTCCTAAAGGATGTCAGATCTCGTCACCCGCGCAGTAATAGCCCTCCAGCGGCGTCCCATTGCCACCAGAATGAAATTAAACCTGTAACCACAGACCAAAGAGTCTGCTTTTATCAGGATCCCACGACCCTCTGATGTCCTGTAACCCTGGCCTCAGTTTTCCCATCAGACTTGGTAAACCAGTTCCTGAATCAGAGATACTTGCTGTCTCTTTACCTGTTTCCCTTTGTCACCCTCTCCACTCATACCTGAGTCGAAATGGTTCGTCAAGTCAGCAAGTTCAGAATCCCATGAGACGTTGTACAAATACTAAAGGGAATTCTTTCTTTGGACAGCTTTATGGGTAATATGCTGAATCCTGGGATGGCATTTCTCAGTAACATGACATTTGGATGTGTCACTCCCTTCATATGTTTATAATGTTACCGGGTCCAAACTTGTTTTGCTCGCTGCACGGCAGGCCAGTAAATTAGGAGACAAGGTGTTGGGGCAAGGAATAGCGACTTTATTCAGAAAGCCGGCAGACTGAGAGGATGGCAGACTAGTGTCTTGCAGAACCATCCTGCTACAGCCAGAATAAGGGCTCCTTTTATTAAAAAAACAAAAACAAAAAACAAAAAACGGGAGGGGGTGTGGTTAGTTGTTGGAAACCTCTTGGTGTGGGAATTCTTTGTTCCTGCAGCCATCCTCAGGGGTCAGGCCATGGTGCTCCTGCAAAACCTCCAGCAAAACAAAGGCCACCCTCTATTCTGCAACTTGTTATCCTTATATAAGTGCAGAAAGTGTTAATATCCTGAAAGGTCAGAGCCTTGAGAAAAGGCTCTCCTGTTTACCAGACAGGCTAAAGGCAACATTCTTTTACAAAAGGTGCAGAGCTAGCAAGACTAAACCCAGAAAAAAGGGCTCAGTGGTTAAAATCAAAGGAACAGATCCAATAGAGTCAGATCTGTTCTGCTCTATTACAATGAGACACGTGTTAATTTAGGACGGGTACCCACACCAAAAATACCCAGACCTTCAAAGTCCATGTCCAAATTCTCATCGGTAATTTAGAACGTAGCAGGTGTAATGACAGCTACACGTTCCTTTCTTTTCAGTGTCATGAGGGGTTTTAGTTTAGGGGACAGTTTTCTGCATTTTTGTTACTGAGGGGCGGAAAACTCACAAGAGACTAGGTTCTGTGTTGCGTGAGTTTCGAGTCAGTGGGTTAACGAGAGGTTTGGGTGGTGAGCGATCAGGAGAGACAACATTGGCAGGTGAGGGCGTAAATGGAGGCTGCCTGGTGGGCGCTGACCTAGAACTCCTTTCTCTGAGGACATAGCCACCCAGAGGCAGGGCCTGGATTCCTTAGGGGAACAAGGAGAATGAAGGGCCCAAAGGAGAGCAGGTGCAGGCGTTTGGGGAAAATGGTGCCCGGTCATGAGCGGGTAAGGAGAAACCGCCCACCACACGTGAGCATTTGCAGCGGCACTGCCGTCAGGCTTTCGTCAAAATGGTTTCATTTTTCTGACCTGTTACTCTTCCAAATCCACATCTTCTTTAGAAGCTGATTTAATGAACAGGCTTTGTGGTGAAGGGTGTAGCTGAGTGGTAGAGTGCCTGCTTAGCATGTGTGAGGTGCTGTGTTCAACCCCCAGTGCCTCCACTAAAAATAAATGAACCTAATTACCCCCACCTACTCTCACCAAAATACAAGAATTAAATAATACAATGGCAAATAAATAAATACTTTTAAAAATTAGAAAATAAAAGCAGAAGTGTGTCCTGCAGTATGAAATACAGGGCTTACCAGATGTGCAGTTCCAAGCAAGGCATTTAATAAATTCAGAGGGGTAGTTTTAAAGTCACTGGTAAGATCTCCAGATAGAAAAATAAAACCAGAGAAAAATAGATTCCCACTCAGACTTCCTGTATCCTTTTGCAACTTGCCTTGAATCCACTCGATATTATGGTTTTGAGATTTTTTTTTCCTTAATGAAATGTAAATCTTGTTTATTTATTTAAACTATTCCGAGTGCAGTGGTATGCTGGGAAGGCAGCTTTGGGGAGTGAAGTGGATAATCTCCAATTTCTCGCATTTACCAGTTTTTAAAGTGTAGATACACTCACCGTGGCAGGTTTCAGGCTCCCAATGGTTTTCGTGGCTTGCCAGATTACCAGTGTTTTGACAGTTGTCACGGGCCAGTATGAGACAAATCCAGCAAGTCACATGTGCATGCCAGGTAAGGTGTATTCCAGGGTATAAATAAGACTGTCTTCAGTCCATGCTTACTGGAGGATATCCGGCTATTAGTTGTTACAAAATGTGATTGGGTAAATATACATGTGTCTCTAGATAATATACCTATAAATGGCGTCCCAGGTCCTGGGCTGTCCCCAGTTTCAGCTTTACCAGCCATCAGTTAGCTGTCCGAACAGGTTTTACCAGCCTGCACTCCAACGTCTGAGTTCTGTTTCCCAGTGCCTGCTGTTGTCAGACTTACTAATCGCTCCCCTGTGATGGGTGTTATGTGGTATCCAATTGATGCTTAATAAGGCTTGTTTAATCAATGTATTTAATCTTCATTACTTCCCTAAGAGACGATACGTATTATTGTCATCCCCATTTTAAAGCTAGAAAGCTGACATCTCTATTCAAACTTAGATCCACCAGACGTTGAAGCTTATACTTCCAATGTTGTGGAATTCTGTAATTTTTCATTATATGTTACCAAGCACTGTGCCTTGTAAATAATAGGTACTCTAAGATGCTTATGAATCCAGGACTAAAACTGCCTTTTGTTAGTTTTATTATTTTGCAGGGTACACATTTTGCTGGTGCACAGATAAAAATTAGTCCACCGAATACTCACGTGTTGTACGCTACTCGAGGTCTGTAATTCCTCAGACCTGCATTCCCACCCAGCAGTTTTGTCTGGACCAGGCAGGGTGTCACAGTTCCGACCTCAAACATAGCAGCATCACTCTTGTCACTGAGATGCGACCCTGCAGACTGGGGAGGGGACGCCCACACCCTGACTGGGAAGATATGATGGGCGATTTTCTGCCGAGGGAGGTCTGGAGCCCGTTTCTTCCATGGCCTGAGTAATAGGTCAGAGAGATGCTTATTAAGATTGCATCTGACAGAGAGTGAGAGAGCAGGGAGAGGAACCAGAAACGTAATCAGTGTGGTTAGACTTTAAAATGAGTTTATCAAAGTGGACAAGTGCAGCCGATAATTAAAGCTGGTCAAAGGTCTGAACTGAAGACATTTAATTCTTAAGAAGAATTTGAGAAGAAAATTACTGCAAATGTCAGATAGTAGAGTGTTGCATATCCAGCTAAATCCCACCTTAGTCCTATAACCTAGAATTCACAAAAGTTCTAATGACAGACCCAGAACTTGTTCTCATGTTATTTTATATACAAATGTCTTATATATAGACCTTTCCTGCCACAACTTCTTGTCCATGCTTACTTCCTAGTACTAGTTACAAAATGAATGCACTGATAGACAATGTCTTTATCTCCTTCAGCTTTTTCAATTCTGTAACATTATTTTCATATACTTTTTTTTTTGCTGTTATTAAACTTTTGGATTGTTTTGGGTTTCTCTCCCCACTATTGTGACTTGTGCTCTTATGTAGGCTGTAGACTATATCTTTACAAAAAAAGTTTTATAGTTATTTTTCCTAAGATGAGTGAAATACGTTATTTGGTAGAATTTTCTGCTGTTGTGAATTGTCCTTGGGTGAAGGTGTTTGTAAATATTATTAGGGGTTTTGGGTCAATCAGACTGAAAATGTCTGGCTTATTAACATTCTCAGTAACTTTCATTGAGTTAGATAATCTTTTCTTGAACAGGCAGTTGTGTCAGTACCCAACTTCAGGATTAACATTTTCATTTCCGTCTTTTCAGGCTACTCAAAGACTGTCCTGGTTTTGTGTTTACACCTCGATCCAGGGAGGAACTTCCACCAAACTTCCCCAGTGAAATTCCCGGAATCTGTCATTTTCTGGAAGCTTACCAACAAGGAACCAATTCAAAACTGTGGTTTCAAAAGAGGGATGTTGAAGACGGCAGTGCCAACTTTTTAGGCAAAGCCTCGGGGATAGATTAGCAAAACGCATCCCCGACGGTCAGGCTTCGGGGTTTGACTCCTTGGAGCGTGCGTGGAACCTCTGAAAGCACTTTGCGCTTGCAGGGGCGGAGGGACTAAGCGACCATCTACTTTTCCTTCCTCTTAATGGGACAGAAATACATTCACTTCTGTACTTCAAGTCTTCAGCGAAAAAAAGAAAAAGAAAGAAACCTCGAACAGTGACTTTGGGAGGGGAGGTGTTTCTGTTACATAACAATCAGTTATTACTTGTACTCAGAGTTCAGCGCCTGCACGTCAGGTGATCGCAGGGACCGGGCAGCCTGCTGAGTGACCCGCAGTCGCGCCCGGGTGGGACACCACGGTTGTTAAGGTGTGCTTGTGATAGTATTGTCTTAAAACAGCATTTTGAATAGAAATGATAGTCTTCGATACCTTAAGCTCTTTGAACCTGTCAACTCTGCATTTTGTTACTTTTCCTCATTTCACTGTTGGCATATATAACAAAATAGATTGAGGGTTTTTTCTGCTGCACTTTTCTGTTTCATTTTCTCTTTTTTTAAAGAAAGTAAGCAATTATGGGTTAGCTGCAATATGACTATAAAGTAATTCTTCTGTAAATATCAAAGATTATTTTATAAGAATATTTGCCATAATATCATATGTCATAATAAATGTTTCATTGTTTGATATTTTTAAAATTCTACACATGGAAAAGGCTACAGCAGTTTCATCTTTGTTAATTCATATTTGCGTCATAATATTCAGGATAAAAGAGGATTACAGCCCATATTAAAATGCAGTAATATCGTTCTAATTTAGCTGAACCAGAAGCAACATGGGAGGAAAGGAAGTTTTCAGGGACACACCGTAAACGCAGAAGTGAAACACTGACACACATGTACACAAACACACACACACTCAAACACACACACACTCACACACACGAGTAATTTGGACCTGTTTCAGCAGACATCGTCCATTGCCGTGCTGAGCCCAGTACAGTTCCAGTAAGAACATCTAAGTACAGAAGCGGGAAAGAAGACTTGTTCTTTCTGCTGATAGCTTTTTTCCAAGTATTTGTGCTGAACATTTTGGTGTGTGTACATGCCCTGAGAGTCATTGAGTTTTTAGTCTTAAGTATGCATCTGTGAATTTTTTATTCTGTTGAGATAACTCAATGATACTTTTCAAAGAGAATGGTAGTATTGATGAAGCAGACGATGCTGTGATTTCATTATGGAAATTTCTAAACATGCTTCTGGAGCCTGAACTTTCATTCTTCACAATGTTAGTCTAAGATCCCTGGTGAACTCAGTGACAAGACAGGAGACTGGTTTGAGACAAGGAGATTAAAAAAAAAAAAAAAGCTCCAGAGCGAGAAAAAGGTGAACATTACAGTTTTAAATCAGTATGCGTAGAACTCTTGTTTGGAGTTCTGAGAAGTAACTCAGTTTAAAATTTCTTTAATTATCTCCATCGGTGTCCAGGCTGGTCCCTGGTGACCTCAGGAGTAAAAAGTCCTCACTGGTTGGCCTCCGGGATCCCCTAGAGTGCTTCTATAAATTCTACCATGATTACTCCTTACAGAATGATGCTCCCATGTCTTAAAGTGCTGAATGTGTCTCCTTAAATACCAGTCTTATTACTGGAGAGTGCTATAGGCCTTGGGGAAGTATAGTTATAATCTCACAATTATATGATGTTAATAAAAGTATTTAAAAGGGAAATAAAGACTTAAGTACATGTTTCTTTCTGGAACTACACCTTTATTGCAGGGAAAATATTAGGAATTAAATGAAATTTAAAAGCATAAAATATTTATCAAATATTTAAGCAGACCCAAATTTGGTAATAACTTATGTTCTAAGTTGTAAATTAATTAGAATTCAAAAAGTATTTTCTAGTGGATGTCTACGTAGACACACACACAAAACCAGTGGAGGAAAATGTAAACAATCTTGGGATGGGGAGGGTAGAGCTCAGTGGTAGAGCACATGCTTAGCATGCACGAGGTCCTGGGTTCAATCCCCAATATCTCCATCAAAAAAAAAATTCTGAGTAAAAGCTACACGGAATTCTTTGCACTATTCTTGCAACTTTTCTATAAAATACCAAAAAAATGTATTCTCCCAGAGACATTAAATCATGGGCCAGCCTACAGAGGCTCAAGAATCACGGAATAGACCACAGACCTTAAGCCAGGCAGGCATAGCCACGTCGCCTTGATGGACTGCATTCAAGATCTGCAACTTGGGTGCTAAAAGCACCGAGGACTTCCTTCTCCATCTGTGTCTCATCCACTTTGCAGACATCTCAGATCCAGAGCGCTGATGGTACCCAGCCAGGGACAGGACTCCCAGAAGGCAGGTTCACAGGGAGAGGGAGGGACCAAGATGGGGCCCGAGGTTGGCCCTGCAATCGAGGATGGAGAAAAGAATGGACGAGAGGGTCTATGGCCGGCTGTGGGCCGAGAGTTCTGAATCCTAGTGCTGGTTCATCGTCCTAAATCACCACGTGGGGTCCCAAGACACCCGTCCCCCCTAAGAATCCAAGAGCTGCTCTGTGCTGGTTCTGTTACCCCAAAAGGTAAAGATCCCAGTTCTTGTCACACCTGAAAGACAAGATTATAGTCGGGAGATGGTGCGTTGTGTAGCCGAAGATTTTAAAAGATTTACTTAGAAAAGGGAAAGTACACCCCCAGGAATGGGAGACGGGCTGATCCAAGGGAGGGAAAGTGGCTGTTCTTGTCTCCTCTTCTCTTACACCCTCGCTTGGAGGTGGTCTCTTGATTGACAGCTCGTCCCTGGAGTGCTCAGTCATGTTTGGCCCCTTTGCACATGTCCTTACATAACGTGGTGCACACAGAGAGACCCGTGGGTGGGAGGCTGAACCACAATGTTAATTATATTACAGTGAGCACTGGGTCGTGTCCTGTTAGGTCCTTGTCACTACCGTGTAGTAGTGGCTGTCAGGTTCTAACGGGTTTCTTACTGGTGCTCATTTAGAAGAAGTGAAGCCCTTTTATGCTGGAGGCGGGCACACCACCCTCTTCCAGCCCCTCCTCCCCCTCCCCCTTAGCTGCCCGGTGCCCTGCTTACCTAACTACCTAACAGTTCTACTGTTTCCATGACTTTTTGTCCCATTGTTTGGTGTCCAGTAAGCAAGCACAGAGTTACAGCAGAGTCTTCGAAAGAGAAATGTATTGATTTCAAGTGTCTCTTCCCATTTTGCCTTATCTATTTCCATCTAGACTTCAGAGAAAAAACACAAAGTTTGAACCAATACCAAACAGATTCATTTACTTATTTTTCATGTATTTATTCATCACTTATTGAATGTCTCTGGTATGCCAGGAATAATGCTGTTTTGGGAACTCTGAAGATAGAGTCTGGTCCATTCTATCAGAAAGAAAACTGAATGGTGAACATAAGAGAAAGAGTGACAAGATGCTGTGGGAAGACACTGCGGAGGCTCGGGGTCTGGAGAAGCGTCTAGGCTGTGACGAGCCCATCGGGCAGGAGGGGCGACGCGGTCCAGGCAGGCGAACCAGGCACCGGCAGGGACGGCGTCTTGGAGATGGATGGAGATTTCCAGACAACCAGGTGCCTGGGACGAGTCGGGTGAGGAGTGTCAGGACAGAAAGGCCACTTGTCAGGGTGTGACTCGCCGTTAAGCACCGTTATGATTAATCTCCACGGAGCCCTCGCTCAAAATAAGTCTGCAGAAGGAAAAACAGGAAGCAAAGGGGAAAAAGCAGACCATTGGATTCAGCCTCCCTCCCCAAAGTTTTCAAACTGCCGGGGAAGAAAGCCGGCAAGTGCTGAGGGGGGTTGGTGGGGTCACATGTGTGACTTTGAAAAGCCCTGTCCTGTCCAGCGAAGCCTGGGTGAGGGGGGACGTTTACTTGCACAGATGGCTGTGTCTCAGAGTATAATGGTTCCTGCTCTCTCCTGGGGACCTTCCCATGAGGAGGACCATAAAGCCGAGACGCCTGGCCTGGGGATTTCGCGTTGCTCTCCAAGCCGTTGGCCTCAGAGCCTTTGGTGGGAAGGGAGGAAGGACTGCTTCAGCGTTCTACTAATTTTTCCTCCAAGTTACTCCTCCCTGACGGTCACTCCAAGCCAGACCCTTGTTCGGGGAGGTTAGGAGCTGCTGTGGAGACAGAACAGGAGGGTCTCGGGTGGGTGAGCAAGTGAGACAGGAGGGAAGGGGAGAGCGGCTGGGGGGCAGGGGATAGACTCGGGCCCCCCAGGGGCCACCCAGCTGGGGAAGTGCCTGCCCGCACTGGGCTCTGCCTGCAAAGCCCCGGTGCAGTCTGGGCTGCGTCGAGCTTGCAAGCCACACCCCAGTCCCTGCTAAAGCAACCGTTAGCATCCCAGAGAGATGGCTGTTGGAGTACCGTGATCGTTGTAAGTATGTGGGCCTTACTTGGACAACTCGCTACCCATCAGCGGCAAGGACTCTGAAGTGTGTCTGATGCGGTGGGTGGCGCGGGGAGACCACCGCCCTTCCCTGAACGACAAAGCTGGTCTGGCCTGGCTGGGCTTCGGCCCTCTTTCAGTCTCTGAATGGCTGTGCTTGGGCAGTTCAGTGAAGCAGACTAAAAGGTGGAAATGTGGGGCACAGGACACGGGAGACGTGGGGGGCAGTCCGGAGAGGGGGAGCCCAGCGGTGGTGCAGTTCCTGGAAGGAAGGACTCACCGTCTCCGGAAAACCAACCTCTTTGCTGCGGAGGCGGTGGAAAAGCCCAGTCTCCTTGTCTGAGCACCGGCTAGAGGCGGGCACTGACGTTCACAGCGCTGATGCACACCTTCCGCGGGAATTCTTCTCCAGCCCTAGGAACTCTCCGGATTCTCTCCTGAGGTGGGGGAGTCACTCCTGCTGTGAGAGCCAGGAGCCTCTGGGAGTGACTAGTCCTTCGTCATTTCCTTCTGCTCTGGGTGTGTCTGCTCCCAGATGACGGCGCGGCTCCTCGCAAAGACACCTTTTAGGATGCTGGGGATGGGCACCCGCCCGTGCTCCCACTTCAGGCCACTTCAAACATTTTACACTGTATTGCTGCCTGGATTTCTCCTGAGGCAGCTTTGTTTTTGACCTGTCTTCACACCTGCAACTATCGTGACCAGCTCACACAATCCTCACTCACTCTTTTACCTCGAAAAAGATTCCTTCATGACTACGCTCATTTTTCCTGTATTCAGTGTCTGCCAAAAAACCCCAAAACCAAAAACCAGAAAACCAAAAACAAAAAAAGAGGTTTCATAAATGCATAAATTACAAGTTTTAAAAAACTAAGCAAAAGGGAAAAAAAGGTGATATTCTTAAAGCCATGCTTCTTTTATTATCAGCAAATTCTTTTCCATCATAATAAACTTGGTTTCAGGAAAATGGTAATATTTAAGATTTGAGTATTGGGATAGAAATCAGGACAAAATTTAAATCACAGATCTGGGACTTAATCTCAGCTATTTTGGTAGAAGATTTTTAGATAACGTTGTGCTGCCTTTCAACTTTTTTTCAAACATTTAATGTCAAAATATTAAATTGCAAGTAAACCTTGCAGACTGGGGAGAAGAGAACTCGGCATAAAATGACTTTGCAGCATGCCCAAATCTTAAACTATCAGCGAAGATGTTTGGTCTTGCCAAACCCATCTGAATTGAAGAAAGAACCGTGAGGTAGTCTCAGAGAAAAATACAACAAAACAAAGAGAAACAAAAATGTTGTTACCGAAGTTGGAAAATCTTGTGTATTGCACGCCTGGAATAGGAAGGGTAAAGCGGAGCCTTTTGGGAAGTTACGGTGACAATGGTCAGAGAATTCTGCGGCTTTGAAAACAGCGATGTTCAGTGATGCAGCTTCTGCACCCTGTCCAGTCAGTCAGCTGCCTTCTTCCCAGATAATCTGTATCTTGGAAAATGGAAGTGGATACAAATACATTAGTGTTTGAGGATGTACTGTTCCTTCACTTCCTCTCACACATAAAGATGTCCTGCAAAGTCTTATGACACAACTTGATAATCACTCATCTGGGGCAGTGTTCTCCAGCCTTTTGGATTCTGCAAACCATTAGTAAGATATTTAGTACACCAACAATATATTATAAATATATAAAATAAATTTTATCACCTAAATATTATTAATTAATGTAATAAGCTGCTTTCAATCTGATACACAGCAATATAGGAATAAGGCTTATTTTTAAGTGAGCATGAAAATGAACAGAAATTGTAGTATTTTCTTTACTTCCCCAGCGAGTCATGTTTATACTTTACTCTGAAAACTATTACAACAAGGCCAGTGGGTCTTGGTTTCATTAGTCCCGTATCACTTTGAGAATGGATGAAGGCAGGAGAGACACAGAGCAGCACCCTCCTAAACACAGGCAATACCCCAAGGCTGGCGTGGACCTCCAGAGACTGGGGGTTTCCTGGAATCGACTCCTGGGCCACCCCAGGGAGGCAGCAGGGGCCGTCAGACTTAGAACGAACTGGAAGAGCCAGCAAATCTCATTCAAAATGAGAAAAGAACAAGTAACTAGAAGAGGTCCATGCATTTCGGTTCAGCTGTGATTGCTGGTGATTTCTGGGAATAAAGGCAGCTCATTCTTTTCGCCCTGTCCTGTGGAATAATTCACGGAGCTCCACATACAGACAACTGATGTGTTCTTTTCAGCAAATATTGAACACATGTCTCAATGTATTTTCTCAAGCTTTGGGTAAATGTG